GCCAGATTTGCAATCTCTGCATAGTTAAAAGCCAAAGGCTTGCAAGCAGTATTGGAATGAGGGGATGTTGATGCAGTCATTCATCAGCAGAACTTCAATGTTTTTGGAAGAAAAGTGTAGGATGAACGCAATTTAAGGCTGAAATCTAATGCTAATTAAAACAGCGCTTTCAGCAAAAGTATGAATCCGAAGACAATAGGATGAAAGACATAGGGAAGGCAAAGCATTAAGGCCAACGGGGAAACGTATCGATGCTTTTCCTCCTGTTTTATCAAGTATATTCATGTGTGAACTTGTTCTTCAATTCCCAGCCCTGGGAGGAGAGACCTAAGGAAAAGCAAGGTCGTGTCTGCAGAGCGCTGCCCACCGATGGTTATTGACCAGCACTGGCAGTGTGCATCCCAATGCAATGCAAATAAGATCAGTTGCATGCAAGAGGCTTTTAACAGGAGTGCGAGCTCATTAGTTTCACGCTGTAGTTAGATCAGGGAGATCAGGAAAGGATGGAATAACTTTTGTAGTGGGATTTGGAAAAAAAAAAAAAGAATGAAATGGGGGTAGGCCTTGTTCCCTTAATGGATAGATATTTGTTGTTTAAATAATCTCATAAACTGGGAAGTGATGGAGGGATAAATGTTTAAAAATAATAGAACAAAGTGTCCTAATTAAGTTGTAAAGCAGAGCAAAAGCACGACATCTAGCTTTCTTATTAATTGAACAGCCTGCAACCCAGTTCAACAAGAGGAAAACCAATGAGTAAATAAATTGGAAACTCTGCTCTTTTGGTTTATTGATGCTGTTATGGCCAAGCTGAGAATTCAGCTATTCTAAAATGATCAAACATTGGGGAAAAAAAGAGAATTTCTAAACTGGCCTCATTATCTGAGACGAGCTTAGAAATAACAATTAAGGTAGTGTAATTCCTCTTTTGCTTACTTCAGTGTGCAGAGATGAAACTGTGGGAGTGTCCTGGCTGCCTGATGATCGCTCTTTTCAAAAGAACAGCCAGAGTTTTATCATAACAGACAAATCCCTTGTTAGCTGCAAAGGAGAAATAATATAATGATGGGGGGCAAAGTACCATGCAACTCAAAAGGAAACAAATGTGCATGCATTTGCTAGTATTGCAGTGAAAATTCTTTGATAAGTGTCTGTCAGGCACTTCTATGAAACCCAAGAGATGCAAATTTTATTTCTCTTATATATGTAGATATAGATATAAAAGATTTTTGTCACCTATGTGTGTGGTTTGTATCTTAAATATGGGAAGGTCTGAAAGAAATGTCACCGTGTTGAATGCAATCACAAAAGTCATTCTTCTGATTTCATCTCTTAAAACAGACCAACTGGTGCTTAGAAAGATTTTAGTAATGCTAATATAAAATGAATTGTGTATGGGAGTCTATGTGGTCAGTGCTTCAGGTTATAATAACCCACCCACCCTCCTAATTTCTGCACCTTTACTTGGCCTTATGAGTCAGCAGAGTGCAATGGCTTGGTTGGTCAGGGTTAGGGTGAAGTTGGCAACCCATGAACTATGTAAGCAAAGACCTTCAGGCCCAGCATGATTCTAATGGTGAAGCTTTAACTTCAAAAGTTTTGAATCAACTCTGTGTATGTATGTACTTTCATAACATACAGCAAGTAAACCTGCACACCAAAACGTATATATTCCATCAAGATGATGTCAGTTTGATCTGCTTGAATGATAGGAGCTGAATGCATCATTCTGCTTTGAGCCCCTCGGCTGCCACGTGGGCTGCAGCACGAGTGCTGCCAACTCCAAATCTTAACCGTGATCTGCAGAAGGCAGTGCTGTCTTCCAGAGGAATAGAGAGGTTCTTCTCTTGTTTTTTTTTTGTTTGTTTGGATTGTTGTAGGCAGTGGATTGTGTTGTTTCTGGTGTGAAAAGAGCCATTGGGACACAATGAAGAGATATGGCATGATTAACTTAAAAACTATTAGTGCCTGTGAAACTCCATCCAATCTGTATTTCTCTAATAAGCCTTCTCTCTTTAAGTAGCTCACATTAAAAATAAAGGTGTGTTGAGTGAATGAATTGCAGCATTCAGGAGAGACTCCGAAGTGCTGACTTGTTGAGATGTGTTTTACTTTTGTCAGGAAGATTGAGCAACGTTCCTGTATGAATTCAGGTTTCACGTTCTCAAACACTGAAAACGTACATTTTGGCACCAGTGAAACATAAGTGAGAATCATTTCTTTTTGAGAATGTAGGCCGTGTGGAAAAAAAAACGTGAATCTCACAAATAAGGAAAATTAAAAATAATCCATGTTCTGTGTTATCTTCCTCCAGGTAAAGCTTTACTGTGTATTGAAGTATTGCTTTCAGTAGTTCTTCAGCAGCCTTGAGAACGAGAGCCTCTCTTGGTTTTAAGATGTGAGATTTGCACATTTGAAACCACAGTTTTAAGGAAAATATCAGCTCTTGTGAAACTGTACGAGTTGGCACTGATGTATATCCTGGCTGCTAACTGCTGTATATTGATTTTACTCGTTGTTGGTTTTTAGTTTTCCGAAATAGATTTTGTTTCATTTGTGTGTATTGGGGGAAAAAGAATCAATGTTGCTGATATTTTAGAGGAGCATTTCATAATGAAGAAAAGAGTCCAGCTTCTTGTTAACCAGCTGGAATTCCCAACAGCCGAGAGACATGGAGGCATGCTGTAATGAAGCCTCTGAATGATGGGGAAATTCCTTAGTGGCTGACCAAGAAATGGCATCCTGTACACCCAGTGCCGCACCAGTATTCAGCTTCACTACGTGTTCAGCTGTGTTATGGACAGAGATCTTGCTGTTTACCAGTCTGCTTGTTTAAATGAGCACAGTAGTCAAAAGCAGATGGGAGGTCATTGGGAACACAGCAGCAGAAGGCTTTCGTGCCCATCCGCAGACACCATGCTGCGGTCCCCAGCTGAGTCCTGGGCTCTCAGAGACGTGCAGTTCACCTGCCTGGATTTCTGATGCTGCTGATGTTGCTTTGGCTTATTGCTTGACTGCCGCTTTCAGTCTTATTTCTCCTGCTCAGAAGAAATGATTAAGAAAGGATTTCCCCATCTTTTCAGTTGACACCCCTCTGCCCCCAAAAAGGAGTGTGTTCTGTGCAGTGCAGCCTGTGATGCTTTAATAATGCATAAATCAAGCTGGACAGGACCGCCTGTCAGTTTTATTAACTTTGACCTTTTCTCCCATTATAAGGATGGTTTGGTAAATATTTAATGAGCCATTATAGATTTTGACAGTTGGATCTGCATTCCTGGAAGCGAAGGTAGATTATGTACAAATACTTATAATTAATAAAAATAGCTTTACCACTGGGAGCAAGCCTTCAAGGACAGAATTGTTTCTTAGGATCTATTTATTTTTACTTCCTACTTTCCTTACGTCAGCCCACTAAATGTCAGGCTGGCCAGTTAGGTTATGAAACCTTTTCAAAAGGTTACATTTAAAATTCATTTATGATTAACACCTGTGATTAGCTCTGTCTTGGAGCAAGTGGCCGAATGATGTTATTTACTTGAGATATGTGTCAGTGTCGTTCTGTGCAGTGAACTGATGGCGTCAACAGCACAAAATGGCTGAAGGAGAGCAGCTTGCTGTAGGGTGCAAGAGGGAAAGGTGCGTTCCTGGAGTCAGAGGGTCTTCTGCCAGAGCTGCCTTTCCCTTTAATTCCCGACATATTGCGCTCACTGCAAGTTCTGGGAGCGAAGATTGAAAGCTAAGCCCCTGACACCTCGATACATTGCCTGTTGAACGATTACTGCCCATTGCTCTCATTGATTTTTTCATTTCAGAAATCTGTAGAAGAACAAATCTGAGCAAAATCCATGGGGCTCAGAGGAGTTGTTAAGGCGGTGCTTGGTGCTGTGCCACTGCTCACACCATGTGCCAGGGAAGTCAGGACCATGTCAAGGCACTCCATTTTCTCCAGGCATTGCCACTTGGGTCTGATTGGCTGGCTGGGTGGCTTTGCTCATGTTAACAGCCACCTTCCAGTAGATTTTGCTTCCCATGGATTCAGTCAGTACCCTACCTAAAGCTGCTTGATGTTCTGAATGTTGTAAGACATCATTTCCTAACTGTGCGTCTTTTTGTATGTGGGTAATGGGATCAGTGTTGGTAACTTGTTCAGTAGTTCACTGTTAGCAGCACAATTCTGTAAATGGTTTAATGAAAATGTCGATGTAGAGACTGGCTGAAGAGGAGGATTGTGTTTGTCTCATGTTGAATCTTGAGCTTTTTTCCCCTTCCCCTTCAAAAGGGAGAGCCAGGAGCTTGAGCTGAAAGTGTCTCGAGGTGGACTTGGAACCTGTTGCACTGGAAAGTGGTTTCAGGACAGGCACAGCATTGTGGCTGCTCTCAAATTTGTGAGCAGCGGGAAAGCGCTGAAACTTGTAAATTCACATATGTCCTTCATGAATTGTCTTTTATTGACAGGTAAAATAAAAGGGTTAGAGAAGAAAGCTACTGAATACGAATCTTTCTGCTGTAACACTATCAAGACATGCTGCTTGATATTTTGAAGGCTAGCTTTTTCTTTAGAGTGACAGAGGTTTCTTTGTGAATGCTGCCTTTTAGGGAAAAAAAGATAAGCATTATTTTAAAAAGGAAAGTTTATACAGTGATAAAGTCACACCTTTCTTCCTATTACCTTCTTTTGGAAAGTAAGGATGCTTGATCCCTCGAGAGGAGAACAGCCTTAATGTTAAAATGCAACTCCGAGTTTCAGGAGAGTTAGGACTTACTCAAGTCTTTGATGCATCATCTTACTTTCCCAATGGCATAGTTTCCTTGTAATATCTATTTCACAGCAGACTTTTATATGCTTTTGTTCGTATCATCTTCTATCCAAGCAATACATGAAATAGCATATATTAGCTTACTGGCTGGCTGTATTTTTAATCAAGCCATACAGACAGTAGAAGTCTGACACAGAGCACTGCGGTGGTTTGTGTTTTAATGTATGTTTTTTCCTTCCCCAGCTGCAGTACCATGCTGGGCTAGCATCTGGCCTTTTGAATCAGCAGTCTTTGAAACGCTCGGCCAACCAGATGGGAGTATCTGCGAAACGCCGACCGAAAGCCCAGCCAACAACTCTCGTCTTACCTCCTCAGTAAGTAATGGAACCTTATGAATATTTTGAAGAGTTTGCACAGTGGGGTGGGGATTATTTTGGATTTTTAATAAAATGAATAACGCTACAAAGTCAGAAGTCGTAAAAACTTTGTGCTTGTGTTTTTGTTTCGTGCCAAGTGAATTATTCTTGGTGGGTGGTTGGGATATTCTATGGGAGCGATGTTTTGTTTCCCCTCCTGGAAGAGGAAGTGCTCTGAGAGCAGAAAAGTTGGAAGGATTCTTTTTAGTAGCAGGTCATAGAAATTTTTGCAACACAGAATTGTCATTGAGGAATGATGTTCCCTTGGTTAGTATGACTTGGAGCTTCAAGAAGGACTTCTCTGAAGGTCCTGAAAGGCAGAAGCTAAGCCATTTTTGGTGTGAGTACTTTCTTGACAAATGTCTGTTCTGAGTCCATCTGTTCACCATATGTTAATTTTGCATTGGATCTAGACCTCTTTTACAGGTGACAAGCAATTACGAGGACACTTAGAAACAGTTTGAGGACATAGAGTATCAACACTTCAGGCAGCCTGTGTACTGATGCCAAAAACACAGAGATGCTCACAACTAAGCTTATGAATTAATAAACTGCTTAAAATATTTAGTTACATATAAGAAAATGATTATTATGTAGAAAATGAAGTGCTAAGCAATTATTCATTGTACTGAGCATCTCTGTGGAAGCCGTGTGCTTTTTTCACAGAACAAGAGTCACTGATGTATAAACACCGTGTTACTAAAAATGTCATGGCTGTAATAATAACAGTTCCTCTTGTCAGTGGACTCCCCAGGCCCAAGCTCATGGAGGAATCAAAAGAAGTTTAGATTTGTTCTCTATGTGACCTGAGAATAGATGACAGTAAGCAGGATGTTCCCCACGTACATTAACTATAAAGGATCGGCAATGCAAGAATCCATGCAATGTTCTATTGCTGTCGTGAGGCATCGCTCAAAGCGGCCAGGAGGGCACCTGTGGCAGAGCCACCAGGATGAAAAGCAGATGCTGTTTGTAGTGTATTTGTGGAAAAACGCAGATATATTATGAAGGACTTTGGCTCAGTGTTGTTTTTTTTGTGTGTCCTTTTCTCTGTTTTGATTTTTCCATTGAGTTTTGAGTATTGATGTCAATTGACATCAATAAAGCTGAGCACTGTGGTGCTGGTTGTCATGATTTATATTCAGAAGCTTTAAAATCAGGGCTTCTCCAGTCCCTAGCATTACTTTTATGACAGAGAAAGAGCTGTTGTAAAAATCTTTCATAGAAAAGTCTGTACCTGTAGATCCTGTATCAAATGCAAGGGAAAAAACGTTGCAGCAGTATAAATCTGTGTGCAGTGTGCAATATACAAATTTACCTAACAGTACTGATGTCTTTTTTTTTATCTGCAGGTGATTATTCCTTTTCATTTAATGACACTCTTCAGCCTTTGCGGATAGGTACCATGTAAAAGTTTAGTTACAAAGTTTAGCTAGTCTTGGAATTATATTCTGGTATTTTATCACCGTTTCCAGCACTGTTCACAGTCAAAACACGTTTGTACTGAGCTGGGCCTTTATCCTCTTTATTTTTTCCTCTCTGACTTCTTTGCCCTTTCAGATTTCGTTGTTATTTGCTATCTTGGTGTGTTTTAAGAAGAGAATAATAGTTATATGAAATGAAATCAAACACCTGTTGAGCTCGATGTCGTGTATCCAACACAAGGCAGAGGCAGATTATTAAAAGACATAAAAATAGACTTTTGAAAAGTGGTTTTATGAAAAAAAAAGTGTCAAATGGAATTTAATATCTTGTTTTTTGTTGTAGTTTCATGCAAATAATGATGAATAATTTTGTTATTTTCTTTCTTCGATCTCTATGAAGTGCAAAGGAAGAAAACATGCAGGTGCAAAGTTATGCATCTCCTTGAAGGGACACATTTTGGGAAAAAGACTCTCTTAGTTTCAATACAAATTTGCCAATGGCACTTCAGAGATTTTTTTTGTATTATTATTATTATTATTATTTTAGATTTATTGATTAGTTGGGAAAGGAGTAACTATTCTTTGTCTTTCCTGCTTTGATTTATGTTATGAAAATAAAGTTCTGTGTTCAGTCTTTGGGCTGAGTGACAGTGTGATGAGTCGAGCATATATTAAATACTGCTCAGAACAACTATGTTACCTAATGCTTTTCTTAAACCTGAATATATACAACTGCTTATGTGCCAAAATGTCATTCTAGGATATCAAACCAGAGCAGACAGTGGCACTGCAGTAATCCTTATCAGCTTGCAAAGGGGTGCAGGAAGCACTCTCAATAAGGACTTTATATAGATACTACTTTGGACAAAAGATCTTCTAAAAATGTTTATTTTAATGCTGATTCTGCTTACTTTGGTATTAAAATTATAATTTGAGTTGCAGGTAGCATTACTGAATTTTTATTAATTTCCCTGTGTTTTAAAGGAACTTTTGCAGTTGTTATTCGTGCTTTACATTCCTAATAGCAATGCTCAGCATTTCATCCTCCCTTCTGCTCCCAGAAGGAGCTGGACAAGGGGTTTAATGACCAAGCTGATGCTTGGTAGTCCCACTCATTTGTCCTTTGCTGGCCTTTGGCTGCCTTTCAGTTTGCCCTGGTTTGGAAGTGAGAAGCTTTGGACTGACACCAGTAGCTATTCAGAAACTTCAGCAGCGGTTTTTAATAAAAAGATATCTTTTGAAATGGAAAGTTTCTGTCTTATGCAAGCAGTGTCGGTAAAATGTTCATTTTCTCCCTGTTTTTATTATCATAGGGTTCTGAGGATGCTGAATAGAGACAGAACTTGGCACGTCAGGTGGCATCTCTCACCTGATTTCACTGTAGCTCAGTTTTGGAGGGAGGCCTTTTGGTGTTCGTTTGCTTTTCAGTTTTGGTTTTCACTGACTCTGAAAGTACAGAATACAATCTTGATATGTGTCTCATCTCTAGCCAAGCATATCTTTATGGAAAAGTGACTAACTGCTGGCTGCTTTCTCTGCTTGCTTTGTCCCTCCTTCTGTCTTCTATTAACAAGACATCTCCCTGTACTTGCTAATAGATGCGTTCCCTCACATGCTTCTCATCTGGCTGCTGCTTCCTTCCTTCTGCTACAGAATCTCAGAGCAGCGTTTGCTGAAGTGCTGAAAGCTGTCATCTCCTTCCATGTGACCAGGAAAGTGTACTCGTGCAACACTTCTGAAAATGAGAATGACTTATTTTGTTCATGCTTTTTGATGTCATTAGTAATAAGAAGGCTGTTAGGTTTAGGTTTGGGGTTTTTTTTCCCCCTCCTTGTGAAACAAAGGCACTGACATATTTAGTTTATCTTGCATTATTTTTCTTGCCACCGCATCTCCAAAGCGAACTGTGATGTTTGCTCCCAGATCCCAGAGCTGAGTGCTGTGCCCTGAGTGGGCTGGCAGGGCTGGGAGCTGGGAGCCCAGGGCTCAAATCAACCACGAGACCCAGCAGGCTCTGCTGCAGCACCGTGCTGCTGAGAAATGGCAGCTGGAGCCACTGTGAGATGGCAAGGCAGAAAGAAAGGAGGAAGCGCAGGATTGACTTGATATTCATGCAGCTGCATTCCTTGGCACACACAGGAGGGTCAGTTAGTATTAATGGGAATTTTTAGGGGTCTCAGCTGAAAACCCTTGGACTTGGATAGCTCTGTGGCACGGGGCTTGCTCAGTGCTCCCAAATGAACCATCTATCTTCTCTGCCTGGAAGGAAATTGCCAGAACAAGAACTTGCTCACCACTGTAAGCGCTGAGGCTCGTGTTCTTTATGTTGCTTTTTAGGGTCATTTGTTGAGACGTTTGTAGTTTTGCAGAAATAAGCATGCTATAAACAATAAGGAATGGGAAGTCTGGTTCTGGTTTGACAACTTCAGGCACAGTGGATACAAAGGCTTGAGTAAAAATGAGTCCAATTTTGTATTTTAGGGTTCCTCAACTTGTCTTGTAAATCTCTTGTGCTCTGATGTATTCCCTAACCTGACAAAGAAAACATTTTAATAGATTGAGGAAAAATCAGTGTGAATTTAAGCTGTATTGCTAGGAGCAGACCAGCGAAATTACTTTTCCTTTATTAAAAAATAAAAAAACAAGACGTGCTGCCCATAATAGTGCTGTAGATAAATGAGGAGCAAAAAGCTATGAAGATGATTTTTCTTTCAGAAGAGAATAAGGACTTGAGAAGTGCTGGGTAGAGACTCAAGAAAGCTGTTTTTTTTTTTCTTTAAGTGGGCATGAGACCATTTTGTTGTGCTGTATGAGTGCTGTGTAACAAAACTCTGTTCCAACACCACGTATCCACAGAATGCCGAGCTGTAAGCACTTCCAGCTATCTGCCTGTTTCAGTGACTGGCTTATAATAAATCTGCTGTCAAAATTGCTTCCATAGTTTATTGTACAAAACTCCCATCATCTCATCTGCTTTCTTTTTCTAGAGGAGAAAGTTATATTGACAAGAAGTGCACACTTGTCTCCGTGCTTTGGAGTTACTTTACCAGAAGCAGCTCTCTGGTGAGCAGTCCCCTTTAAGAGCTTATTACTGGGTCAGCAGATAGGTGTTCATCTGGATTTGGAAAATAAATTCACAGATATCCCAATCTTTGTTCGTGGAGCTTGGTTCAATACCACCATTGTCAAAGTGTTGATTTTTTTCATTGTGCTTCTGCCCTAACAGATTAAATGTTCTGCCATACAAGCAGTACTAAAGGGTTCTATTGGACACAGCAGCTGAAGGTTGGGGAAGAAATTCAATTTAAAATAATTACACAGTAATGAAAACAAAAATGCTGTTTTAAACAGTGAGCTGAAAGGTATGTGTGTGTGTGTGTGTCTAAACGATATACACAGACATTAGATGTGCCAGAATAAATTATTTGGAACTGGTGTAAATTACCGTTTCTATATTAAGGAGAATCCTGATGAGCCCTTTGCCAAGAGTTTGGGAAGAAAAAGGTTTTCTTCAGCATGTTGTTTTATAAACAG